CAAGCAGGCAGAACAATGTATATATAGTAAATAAATAAATCTTTAAAAAAGATTAAAAAGATGATCTGCCTATTATTGTGTTTAATTGTGATCAAAAGCAGATAGCATTAACAACTAGATTTTCATTACGTAGATTTTAAGTTATATTTTTATGTCAATTTTTAAAAAATATTTTTGACTAATATTCATGGCATTACGAGAGAAAAAAAAACATGAATAAAGCAATGTCTTCCCTTCTGTTTAGCTGTATTTCCTTTCTTTTCTTTTTTTTGGACAGGGTCTCACATGTCCCAGACTGGCTCCAGCCTTGCCGTGGATTTCCTCACTTCTTCCTCTGGATCATGGGGACTGAGCCCAGGGCTTTGGGAAAGCTGGGCAAGCCCTCTACCACCTGAGCTACTACATCCCTCCCCCACCACCACCTACGTCTCTTCTGTGTGCAAGAGGCTCTGTCCAAATGTGGGTACACACGGGGAAACATAAAAGTCAAGTGAGCAACATCCACACACACAAAGGAGCCCACTTATCATGGAGCGGAGTAACAGAGCACGCCTGGGCAATGGGCTGCACTGTGTGTGTGCGGCTTTCTGAGCCGGCGAGGACTCTACAGGGCTAACTCCTCAAGTACTTACCACTGAATGAAATATTCAGAGAATGATTAGAATGTCTTCATCGCAAAGGCAATGAAGAGACAAACACAGCTTTCTCTCGGTTAGCGGAATTTTCAAGTCGTGCTTGCAGACTTGGTTTCCAAGAACAACACATTTATCTTAATTTCGGCAAGTCAAGCTGTCTAGCTGGAGACATGGTGTCCCTCCCTGGCAACACATACGGCAAAAAGATCTCAGCCCTGTAGTGCTCATTCTGGATATCAAACGCCCAGTGGCTGTCCTGTCTTGAAGGCACAAACACCTGTGAAAGATTTGTATGTCCTGAGAACCAATGGACACTGTTTTCTCTTAGAAAAGTGAGGCCACACACAGCTTAGGGATCCTGAATGACCGAATGCAGCAGTTTCAATGTGAGAGGGTTTTAGAGACCTGGGAAAAGAACAGGAAGACCAGCAGGGGTTCTGCTGTGTTATATACACCTATATAAACAAACCTTAAATGGCTTTAAATCCACAAGGCTTTGGGTCCTGTATCCAAACTGGCTGATCACTAACTCTGGAAGGTAAGCCCCTAACCCAAGGGGGGCTGTGTAAGCAGCCTAGATTTATTTTGTTGCTTTTTTTGTTTTTTGGGGAATGGCAGTGGCAGGAGACAGTCTCACTATGTACCCCAGACTGACCTTGACCTTGTATTTCTCCTGCTTCAACTTACAGGGCACTGGGATTACAGGTGTGCACAGCATTTCAAAACCACAACTGTCCCATCCTGATTAACTGCACCCTGACCTTCAGCTACGACCAACAGTCACTGAACTGCAATTGCATCGCCTGCCTGGTCTGCAAAGCAAGTCTGGGATAGCCAAAGCTACACAGAGAAACCCGCCTCAAAAAAAAAAAAAATTGCCACAAACCATTTCCTCTATCACAAAGCACATTCACATTCTACAGCCCTTCAGGTAGAACTTCCCAGGGCTTCACACCAAATAACATTAGAGGAGCCAGGAGCCAGTGAAGATCAGTCAGCCTTCCATCCCACTGCTCAGTCTCGAGTCCTGAGTCAGATTCACTCCCTCTGACTAGACCACGTGGGGGAGCCCCGTCACATCCGGTCCAGCCTCAGGAAATGCCAGTCCCGGTTTGGTGCAGAAGTCCGGTGGGGAGTGAACAAGAACTAGCTACACAGTATACATACCTCACTGCACCAAGAATCACAGAAGGGAAAACACACAGATACTCAGCTACTGGGAGAACATGGCCCTTCTGGGAGTCAGGCTACCCAGAGCCCTGGCCAGAGCACTCTGCCCAAAGCACAGCAAGCCTGATATATCTGATGACAAAGCCTCCCTCCCAGCAATCCTTGCTAGATGCAGAGCCAACAAGGGCTTCTGACAACACCTAAGAAGAACCGATTCCTCCATTTCCTCTCAGGGAGCTCAGGACACTAAGATCTACTGGGGTCCTGCTTTCACGAAGACAGAGATCTGCTTGGATAGGAAGCAGCAGGCAACCTTCACAGCCAACCAGACTTTTAGACACTGCACTACCGGCCCTTCCTTCTCTTTCCTTTCTCACTGGAAGCCCCAGTAGGCAAGAGCTCTGACTTGAGCCATACCAGAAACCGGCCCTGCCAGAAACCTCCATTTCAGCACCAATGTAGCCACTTAGTGGCCAGGTAACCCCAGCCCATCTCTGGGCCTCCGGTTCCTCACCAGTAAACTATGTGATGTAGAGGTCTGTTACAATAATGTTTGAGAAGGGCTCGGGACAATACCTGACAGAAAGCGCTCCTAAAAGTAAGTACACACTGTCCTCCCCAGAAGTGGGGGGGGGGGGGTATACGCAGGCTTGGCAGGTAAAGGCCCCCAAACCTGATAACCTGAGTTCAATCCCTGAGTGTGACATGATGAGAGACCTCCAGCTAAGGCAAGGTCTTCTCCTTTTTTTCTCACCTCTGCAAACGCCTTCCAAACTATAGCTATGTCTAGTCCTTTTAGAGTCCTGTGGCATATGCCCTCCCTCCCCAGTCCCATTTCTGGGCCACTGTGTCTCGACAGACCTCAGGTTCCTCAGCCTTAGGATCTGCCCATTGCTTCTTTACTTCCTGGTACTGGTCCTGAGGGTCTGTTGAGGGTTCAAAAATGATAGCCCCACACAGGACCTTAAAAAAAAAAAAAAAAAGAAAAAAAAGAAAAAGACACAGAAAGGCCACCAAACGAGGCCTCACTCACTTCTCTCCTGTCCCTTGACCCTTTTGCCCACTTCTGCAGAAGTTCATGAAAACCATGAGAGTTTCTGAACTGTCCATGCTTGCTTGCTGGCTGTTACCTGTCACTCTCAGCTTCATTAGCAGCCCAAATTATCAGAATATCCAACTTTTCAAAAGCCAAAATAAACGGCTTTCTCTACATTCACTCCCCAGCAGTGAGTTCTCACATACACAGGGCCTCAACTAATCCTTATGAGGCAGCTCAGTCCTTAGTTCATAGCGGAGGGAAGAAGTTCAAGGTAAAAGATGAGGATGGTAATAGGACCAGGCTGTGTCTGGCTCTCTCCTTTCTTTCCACTCTATTCTAAGCTGAAATGACAGCAACAGATGGCCCAGTGGAACCTAAGAAGGTTTTTGGCATCAGGGAAATTAAAAACATGTAGAGAGAGGGAGGGGAGAATGAATACAGGGGGGAACGCTTGGGGCATGTCAGGATGTAAATTATTGTGGGGTACCCCCAAATTCCCTTTGGACAGTACTGCTCCCAAACCAAACCTACCAGGGGGCCCCTCATGCGAACACAGAGCACAGCTGTGAGAGGAATATCACATGTCCTTTCTCATTTCTCAGCAGCGAAGCTAAGTAGGGGCTGGCATGTCGCCTCACCTGAAAGCATAATTTTTCCTTTCATGCTTCTCTGCTAAAAAGAAAGGGATTCCCCAGTAGACGAGATTTGCTCAAGCTGTTTCTGGAAACAGCTATCAAAGCTCAGGCAGCAGTTCAACTATGCAAGCCTCCAACCCATTAGGATCTAACACATGTGGAAATGATAAATGTGAGCCTGCTGTGTGTCATCTGAACCGTCGGTGACCATCGAAACCGCAGCAAAGGTCGAAGTGAGCACAGGAAAATCCATAAACCGGTGTAGGCCAACTACACTTTTCCAGAAGACGAAATCCTGATTCTTTTTCCCATTAAAATGCAGCGGGGCTGGAAGGAGAGGATCTCCGGAGCAGGGGCTGGGAAGGGCCTCTCACTCCGGAGCCCCTCACTTCCAGGAGAGGAGGGAGGCCAGCAGCAAAGATGGGAGTAATGAGAGAATGCTGAGCTTAATAAACCCTAGGGGCCTTCTTCTGTTTTGTAGATGAGGAAGATAAGACCAAAAAAAGCAAGCCTCCCTCCCCTCCCCCTTTACTCTAGTTTTCCAACAGTAAACTGCAAACAGCACTTACTAGCCAAGTCTTTAACACTTATTTTCTGGGGGGGGAAAAAACGTACAAAAATAAAACAAAAGAAACTATGTCCCTTTCCAAAATGTAATACAAACTTTTTCTTAATCTCGAGATCAACTAAAAGCTTTACTAATCCATGTAATTAGCTAACGGCTACATTCTCTATCTCACTCACCTGAAAATAGGGAGAAAGAGAGAAAAAAAAAAAAAAAAAACAACTCAGTTGTAAAGTTTAATGTAGATCACGAGGGCGAGCGGCTACCTGCCGGTGCCACTGCCTTCCAAACGTCTGCCGTGGTTTACTTTCCTGAGCTGTTGAATAGGTGGACCGCGCGCGGCCTGACTGTGTGGGACAGGTCGCCTAGCAAAAGGCCTGGATTGGCATTACCCGAGGCCTCGGAGGTAGCGGGCTCAGGGATGTGTCTTCAAATCCAGGCTCCGCTGAAAGTTCACCGGGCTGGAAGAGGCATGTGGGTTGTGTGCCTCGAACCGGAAAAAGGCTGACAGCGAGCGTGCGCCCCGGCGACTCTTCTCAGCTCAGGCCCCACCAGGGTCCTCCTCACTAGGAAGTGGGAACGAGCTGCTAAGCAGAATTCTCCCCCACGGTGAGGTTCCCATTTCCTAGACGGCTACCGAGAACCTAGCACCTCCGAGCTGGTTCCCACCACCCCACTCCCGGCTGGCCACCAAGCCCAGGTCCAAAAGTCCCCAAGGCCGGTGTTGAGGGTTGGAGGGGGACCCGGCCCAGGACCCTGGAGGGTTTCAACTGTAGAGGTTCCTCCTGCAGCTCCCGCTGGCCCTGGACTTACATGCTCCAGAGGAAGAGAGGGAGCTGCGAGGCCTTCAGCTCTGCACCGCACCCCAAGCTGCGGTGGCGACAGGTGCGCGGAGCCCTGCCGCCTTGTGTCCCCAGCTGCCGCGCGCCCTCCGCAGTCGCTCGGCTACCCCTTACCTGTGGCTCCGCGGACGGCCTCAACCTCCATGCTCCCGACCTGTGTGTACCGCGTGTCAGCCCAACACACACCCCAACCCCCACCCCCAAGGCCACCACCCTTCCACCTTGGCTCCCTAGGGGCTGCCCCGCCTCTGTCGCCTCCCCTGGGGGCTTTCTCCTTCACACTCCCTGCCTCCAGGCTGCCAGCGCCTCTTATCTTCTCCCACAGGACCACCGCCCGTAATTTCTTTACCTTGCCTTGACTCCACAAGGTTCAGTCCACAAAAAGAAAAATCTGAGCCAAAAGTGAGTTTGTTGTCGTTGCTGTTGGGCTTCCGTACACACTGGCACGCACCCTCCTCCCCAATGTCCCTAGGCCTGTACTGGACAGATTTTTTTTTTCCCCCACCATGGTCCCTTCTGTATCTTTGTGCAAAAATCATTTGCATTGACCCTTTTCAAAAACTTAGCACGGCTGAAAAATAGCTAAAAATGTAATAAACGTACACCTAATGCAGGGCATCCAGGAATCATTCTGACCCATTTCAGTGTCTTCCCAACAGTGTCCTGGAAACGGCAGTGTGCCCACGATTTATTAAATGGTCAAACAGGCACTCATTCGACAAAGCAAAATTCAACGTCGACAATTCCCCTCGCCCCGGGTATATTCAGCTGTCTCAAAATATTGCTTTGGGAAGATGCAAGGGTTAATGACTTCAGATTTCACCTTTCTGCAGATCATGGTGGAGACACACCTAAGGTCCCAGCTCCTGGGAAGTCTGAAGGAGGAAGAAGGCTTGGGCCCCTTAGTTGGAGAACGGGTCTGGGTAGTCCAAGGAGATCCTGAAAGTGGCATTGGGGGACACACCAGGTGGGTGTGGGCTTCTCAGGAGAGTCTTTACAGCGTATTTGTTGATGGGATTCAGACCGGGGACAAGCGGCTGAGGTGCCCATTTAACCAAAGCAGACCTGGCGTCCAGGCTCTCCCTGCAGCCCTCAGCCCCTGCCTGTTAAGGGGCCGGCTTTTCTCTCTCTCTGAGTTTGGTGAACCCACCCCAGAGCTGTCCCCACTAAACCTGCATTTATATACTCTAATTTGGCTTGAATTGGCTCATATCCTCAGCGGAAATAACCTATCATTTGTAAAGACACTTCAAAATATTTATAAGTGCCTTTAAGTTGCCATAAGTGTCTTCACAATATAGCCATATATGTATGTATGTGCATACATGTCATGTTATATATATATATATATATATATATATATATATATATTTAAATATATATATATATATGTCTTAGGTAATCATTGATGTTACTCAAACTATTAGCATTAGGTTGAAAGTTTATTAATCTGTACTGCAAAGTATTTTTAAGGCCTTGTTACCATTCTCTAAAGATTTTTATTTTATACATTTTCATATAGAAACTTGAAAATATACATACGTGCCTGGGTATATATGTAAAGAATTATGGTCTGCATCGTTCCTTGCTTTTCATTTTTCCCAAACTCAATCCTGAGTTAGGTTTTTCCTCTTTCTGTTCCTTAGTTTTGTTCCTTGCTTAGGTAGACTGAGCCAAGCTCACAGCTAGAACAAAGTCTAAACTTGCTTCTGATGATTTTATTAATATTGCTTTGTTTAAACTTGTACCAACAAATGGCGAAGGAGGGGCCTAGCCAGCCACTGGAAGGCAAACCTGGCTCTGGCAGGCCTGGCCTTCCCCTATTCCCTCTGCCTTTCTAAAAACCATTAGATTGCATTCCGAAAGCTGGCCACCAATGTCCATTCCTCCTCCTGAGATTGCAGATCAAGGACCAGCTATCCAAGTATTGAAGTCCAACCATCAAAAGCCCCCTTTTGGCTCACCTAATTAACATGCCAAATCAAAATTAACCAACTCATCCTATCGGGAGGCTCGCCACCCCCTTTTGTTTTTACCTTTATAAACTGACGTTTTCCTAGGAGCCATGTCTGTTTCCTTTCTGTCCTGAGGCAGTCTTTTGCTCTAAGACAAATATCCCTTCCTCTTCTTCCTTATCGTCTATCTCCTCCTGTCTTTCTCTTTGACTCTAATTCCTGCCCCTTGTATAAATCTCCTTTGTGCTGAGACCTTAGTCTTTGGTTGTCTTGTGTGGATACCAGTCCCTTCAAATAGTATCTTACTGTTATAGCTCAGGCTAATCTTAAAAATCTCCATCCTCCTGCCTTCAGCCTTCCATGTATTGGGACCACAGCCATGTATTACCTGCACCCATTTATTTCCATACATTAAATGGTGTAGACTTCCCTTGTGTAGCAGTTTCCGCTCAGATTAAAACCTTCCATTTTTGAGAGAAACTTCTTGGTGTTTGTTTGTTTCCATACATGGTTTCTTAGTGTGGCCCTGGCTGTCCTGGCACTCACTCTGTAGACCAGGCTGGCCTTGAACTCAAAAAGATCTGCCTGCCACTGCCTCCTGAGTGCTGGGATTAAAGGCTTGAGCCACCACAGCCAGGCCTTGAGGGACACTTCTTTAAACCAAATGTTTACAAGGAAGAGAAACAGCAGAAAAACAGATGAAATACTGCAGGGACGCTCCTTAGGATAGGAAGTAAATTACAAAATAGCTTCAGGAAATCCTTGAAACTGACTAGCTTCTCTAGACCCCTCCCTCCAAAGACTATGTATATAACTAGTAAAGACTACTGAGAATCAATCTCAGATTGCCTAGAAGGAGTTGAGATTAGATAAATTGCCAAAAATGGGGAGGGGGGATGGAGGGTGGGAGAGGAGTGGCTAAACTGTCTGTTAGAAGTTCAGACCAACTGAGCCTCCCTGAAAGAAAATTCTCTAACCTGTCATCTACCTGCAGGCTCCACAGCATGCTTCAGGTTCCCAGCTTTTGTGAGCAGTCACCCATGCTAGGGTGGGCTTTGGTGATGCAGCTGTTTTTATTTCTGCTCCTGTTAGTAACCCCTCACTCATACTCCTGTAACCCCAATAAACTCACTGATTCCAAGCCAGAGTTTGCTAGTAACTGTACTTTGGTCTGTCTTGTGACCTTTGGTCTGCTGTCAGTTCCCTATCTGTGGTGTGTAAAGTTTGTTTATACCACACTGTCCTGAGAGAGATGGGTCAGCGGCTGAAGGTGCTTGCAGTGAATCCTGGTGACTTAAATTTAATTTCCAGAACCAACATAAAAGTGGAAGGATAGAACTAAGATAAAATTGTCCTCCTGTTAGGGTCTGAGAATCCGGAAAATAATCCTCTAGGAAAACCAAGTTGCAACCAACAAAATAACTTCATTTGAAAACTGATAGATATATCAGGGACATAGCTGGATTCAGGATCCAAACCACGTCGTGGGGGGTAGAGCAAGACAACTTTTTAAAGCAAAAACCCCACAAATTAGGTGGGGGTCAGGGCATCCAGTGAGATACATGCATACACTGTACACTCCAACGCATTTCACACCTAGCATCTTCCGTGGGTTTCTGTATCAAGTATCTCAGATGGCTTTCTTGACAACTTGGCCTGTGCCAAGGCCAGCCAATCTGGGCCCATTCAACAGCTTCCAGATTTTTGTCTTGACTAGGTGCTAACCAACAAAGCATAGAATGAGATATTGTGATTTAGACACGTTGGGAACACTTGACTTTGAAGCTGTTTCTAGGGATTTATCATAGTACAAACACTCTGATCTGCACACTTGCACTGTGCCATAGGTACCTATTCCTGCAATAATAATTTTTAATTAAAAAATAAAAGGTATGCTGGGTACGACGGTACATGCCTGTATCTCAGCACTCAGGAGGCAGAGGCAGGCGGATCTCTGTGAGTTGGAGGCCAGCCTGGTCTACAAAGTGAGTCCAGGAGAGCCAACACTATACAGAGAAACACTGTCTCAAAAAACCAAACTAAGTAGATAGATAGATAGACAGATAGATAAAAGGTATATTTTCCTTTATAAGGTAAATATCTCCTTACATACGTCTATATAAACTTCCATAATATATATACTTTCGTTTGCTATTTCTACAACCGTTTCACACCATTGGAACTGCCAAAGCTTAACCATGTACTTGGATTTCTGAGCCACCAAGCCTCAGAACCAGCTAAGGATACTTTCTTTCAAAGGCCTTGCATACATTCCTTCACGAATTTACCCCGAGAAATACTTGCTGACACTTGAAGGCTATCACAAAAGGCTCCTCCCTTTTACTAAAAAAAAACTTTCAACTTAGGGCACAAACTGGTCTCATATACTCCTGAGGTCTGACATGCTCAGAAGTTGCCCTGGATTTCCTAAGCAGAGGATCAGATTGTCCACAAGCAACGAGGCGCTGTATTTCTAAGTCTTCTGAAAACAGACTCAGCCACTTAACACTCATCACTGACACCAAAATTGCCCTGGGCCCTAAGCCAACATAAAAGGAAAATGCCACCTATATCTGTGTGGAGAGGAGAGGCCCTGCAAAGACCCAGCCGTGCGCTTGATATGGCCCCTGTCCAAGAGGACTTTTTAAGTACCAAGCTATAGCCTTCATCTGGCCATAGCTATCAGCACAGGAATTTCCTGTGTTAGGAATACAGCTGTTGAGTCATTCCAGGGTCTTAGAGAAATTCAACAGTGACAGTCCAGCAGCTAAACAATAGGTCCAGCAAGCCCCTGGATTGTAATGAATAAACAGATTCCTGTTGCAACAGTTGTTACTACTGAGTGAAGGAGGTATACTTCCTTAAAAAAAAAAAAAAAGAGTGATGAAGTTAGTAGAAGCCTGGAAAATGTGACAGGCAAAAACCACAGCTAAAACTTTGTGCTACAGCATGTGGCGGAAGAACGGTAATTTCTCTTGTGACCTAGAAGACTTGCAGGAGTTTCAAAAGATGAACTAAAGAACAACCACTTCATAATCTGTAGAGGAAGTTATAAAATATGCTACGTTAACTGGGCATGATGGTCCTACAGAAGTGAGGGGACTGAGACAGGAGAATAACTTGAACCTGGTAGTTCCAGGCCGTCTTAGACAACACATAGAAACTCCATGTCAAAAAGAAAAGAAAAACAGAACCTCATTTTCTATACCAGTTTCCT